TCCCCGCACCGGGGGGTAAGGAAGAAAGGTTTTCTGGGATGGCTGGCAGGGTTCTGGTTAAGTACGAATATGGAGGTCAGATAAGAGGAGCTGCCATAGAAAAGAGGGAGGGAGGGAAGGGAGGGCGGGGGGTATGAATAAGTGTGGGTGGCAGAGAGAGCGAAGGCCTAGAGCCCTTTTTGACCCCTTCCGAATTTCCTCTTCCTTTGACCTTTCTTACTGCTCTCGGTAGTGGCTTTTGGGTCCCACCCATGCTCCGAGTATAACCACCTATCTAACCACAGGCTCTCGTCAAATCCCCTCCTTTGATCTGCCCTCTCTGATTGAGCCGGTGCAAATGAACCCCTCCTTTCTTGCGTCCTGCGCTTTTTGTGCGAGTGTGGGCCTCGATTATGTTACTCTAGTGCCCAAAGTAGACTTCCCAGTGTCCAAAAGTGAAATAATTTCAAATAAAATATCAAAATATCCCACCCGATTTCTCGATGCCCTCTCCCCCCCACCGGCACACAGCTAAAAAATTTGGAAAAACGAAATAAAATAAACTACCCCCTCCTTCCACACCGTTCAAAAGCAAATTTGGATAGCATTTTGCCATCCCAGACAAAACGTGAAAGGCAAATATCGGATAATGCCCAGTGCAAAATCATGGTCGATACTGTAATGTACGCGCCCCGATTCAGAGAAATTCAGAAAACAATAGATAACGTATGCATCCAATTATGAGACCATAGAAGACCCGAAGTAAAGGGTAAGTCCCTTGCCACACATGCGCATAGGATGTGCGCCATTGGGGAGATATTCTTCCCACACGGGGCGTCCAGAGAACCGTTGCACTTCCAGATGAGGGGTTACGGCGGAGGACCAGATATGTCCCTCCTAGCTCTTCTTCCTCTTCATGTTGCTCTCCTGCAGAGCTTCATAGACCTTGCCCAAGAGTAAGCATCTAGTATAGAGCAGCTTGCCTTAGTGTAGGTTGTCATTGGAGAGGGAAGCCTTATTTTCTTTTTTTCGACTCATTTGCGGAGGGTACCTTGCAGCCCCCATTACCGTTCCTGCGTATGGCGAGCTGTGAGCAACATGCAATTTTCAGCACTGGCGTAACAATCTCCAAAGGGAACTTGGTAAAGACGGGGAAAGGGGCGGGGGGTGGGAAGCGGTAGAGGGAATATGCAGTAAGAGGAGCATCAGGGAGGGGGCTGAGAGTGAGAGCAGCAAAGAAACGAGATATCAGTGAAATCGTAATTGGATATGCAGCACTTACGCGTGCTACACTACGGACTTAACAATCCGTATACCGGATCAGTGCCTTGTGATAGCAGACAACAACGAAAGATGATAATATTCAATTCAGACTAGCGAGCTCACTCCTGACCGAAGGAAGATATGTGACCCCCTCCTTCTCGGCGAGGTTGGACGGGATTGGGGTATCAATCCGGGAATATTCCCCCCGAATCAAATTGATGCCGGACCTGCGTATAGAAGTTTCGACTCTGGCACTTCTCCCATGATCCACTGAGTCTGCTCTGCGTCTCTCCGGCCCTCACCGCCACTCTGCTAAACCTTAGGTATCACCCCTTATCCATTATTTCTGACGCCCCCAGGCCGAAATGAGAAATAGGATTTTAAAATAATAACCGATCTTCCGTCCTCTAGGAAGATAGATCCTTGCCAGGGCTCCTTCCATTATGTCCATCCACTCCTTCCTTCCTTTATTTTTTTCGTTTAAAAAAAAGAGAGAGATCCCATTCCGGGAAGAGGGGCCAAAGTGGAAAGGGTGTGGGAAAGGTTCGGAGGGTGGTGTTATTTTTTTTTATTATTATTTTCAGCTTGAGAATGACCCAGTGCACGGCGATAGGGTGATGGGATTCGCTGAAGTGATATTTGTTTGTGCCACTCTTGTTTGAAGAAGATGAGGACCTGTAGTTGATTGGTGTTGCTCTGAAGTCGGTGGACCCCTGCGCCTAACAGTCCCCGCCAAAAGAGCATAGCGCGGATCTAACTACTAACCAGACAAGTTAAAAGGATAATAACTTTTACGGTGATCTTAATGATTAATTCCCCTCTTGTCCATTTTCCCGCGCCCAGCACCTGATCTCAAGCGAAGATGAACAACGAAACAAACAACAACCGCAACACAGCAAATCTACAGTACGAGTACAGTAAGGCAAAAAAAAAAAAAGAGGGAAGACACCAGTGAATACCCTCACCAGGTTCACGGACGGGGGAGGGAGGGAGGGAGAACGAACATGCAGCAACCAGAGAGCCGTCGTCATCGTGGCGAATGAAAAGCCTTGTCCCATGAGACGCGAATAGCAGCGACAAAAAACAGCCTCGTCAGTCGGTCCGCCCGTCAGCTCCAGAACCCGTTCCTGCGCTCGCGATCCAATGCATCCGCCAATCGAACGTGCAGTCGGCCCCGCAGCCGTTCTCGCGTGACTACATACCATGGAAGGCATCTGTTCATAAATTAAGGTGCAGAAGGCCGACGCAGCAGGATTGGGTGAGGCTACAGTACAAGATTCTCGGTGGGGCAAGCAGGTAATCCTCATGTACTCGCCGAGGGAGGGTGGGAACAGAGGAAAGTGTGTGAGTGAGTGGAGTGCGGTCAGGTCAGGTTAGGGGGTGGTAAAGGAGGAAGTGAAGGGAAAGGAAATTGATGCGTGGTGGTGATGTCGTCGTTAGCAGTGGGTAGCTGAAGAATATGCAGGAGGTGATTGATTTGCCTCGGATGTATGAAGGCTAAAGGGCAATCGGAAGCATTCGGGGCAATGGAAAAGAGCCCAGGTAAGCACAGCGCCGGTATCGGGGGGGACGGGGGGAGGGGAAAAGCAAGCAACAGGAGGGCGAAGGATGCCTGATTGCAGCCCCGGAGGCAAAAGAAAAAAAGGAAAAAGAAAGACACAATAATTATGATATCCCGCAGCGCCGCCATCGGTAATCCGCTCTACAGTAGTGTGAGTATCCTTCAGCACGGGCAGGCTGGGTCACTTTGGGGCTATGGTCCTGCAAAATGCCGACTGATTGCATGCCGGTAGGCGCAGAGCCGAGTGATTGGCGTTCCTGGAGGAAGAGGGGTAAAGCACGAAGTACACGTACAGTACACGGTCCACTGCACTCGAGTGCTCCCACCCGGGCCATCGGAGGATTGATTCCCAGAATCCAGAGCTGTCTCTCAACCGGTGTCACCACCTTGTGATCCGTGCTCGCGTTTCATCTTCCGCGATACGCGGGACGAAACGGCCATACAGCTACCAGACACCATACACACCCACCCGCAGACAAGACAAAACCAGCCAGCAGGAAGCTAGGGGCACGCAGAACAGTAGAGTGCGATACCCCATCCAGCGTTCCATACGGGCGCAGCAGCCTGACAGCCAAGTTTTCTACCACTCCGCAAAAACTTTATCCATCCTTACACATCCATACACCCGGCCATCCCAAATGGTGCGGTAAAGGTGTTCGAGTTTAATAACGGTACCGGTACTCGAATACTGTACTAGTACGAGTACGAGTACTTGGATTCCTTGTCTGGAATTGCGCAAGCCCATTTACCGGTACCGGTATCATAAGGTTTGGGAGGGGAGGGTAATTTAGAGGGAGCGTGGGATGGGAGAAACATATACCCACCCAAACAAAAAACGCTTATGGAGATCCCGGCTGCACACAGCACAATTGCATTTCCGAGCCTTCAGGGGAGGAGGGATCTGCCGTATCTACCGTGTCCACCGAATCGTCCATGTTCGATATCATACAACAGAACACACCTTATCGTACCTACAGTATCCATTAAACATAAATCTGACATACAGAACAGCAACAGAATCCACTTGTTCCCAACAAAAAAAAAAAACCCTCGCGACAGCAATACCGCACCATGCACAACCCCCATAACTGCACCGTACAAACAAGCCCAAACCTCATCGGCCTCAACAGCGATAATCGATAAAAGAATACTCTTGCTCATAGGGCAAACGGTAAATTACGACAATCCTTGGATGAACTGTCCCAGTCCGAGTATCCGGGCCCGTCGACTTATCACCAAGCCCCGCCAGCCCCCCTCTTCAATCACCAATTACCGAAACCTCGAATGCTGCATGCTGCATGCATAAGCACCGCCTCTCTATCTTTTCCCTTTTCCCTCCTTTTGCCCCTCCATTCCCATCCTCCCCCCGAATTCTGACTATCGCAGAAAGGGAGCCAAAAAGCAAATTCTCCGACCGTTCGTTCCCTGGGTGAGAAAAAGAAAAGGAAAGGAAAACTTGCACATCTTTGAGCTTCAGCTGTTCAGGGATCACTCCGCCTCTCAATAAGGCAACCAAAGAAACGCCCATCCAAACCCCACCGCCACGCCGGACCATAATCGAACGGAAAAAGGAAAAAAGATGTATCATTCACCATCGCATCCGGGAGAAAGGTCCGAGGGAAAATGGAAAGGAAAAAAAAAAGAAACGAAAAACAAAACAGCAAGGGCTATGACTGCCGTACAGATTCTGTAACCATACCCCGAAAATCCAGCAAGATACCGTAACTGTACCCTGACTACCGCCACATCACCACCGCCACATACAACACCCCCCCACATTCGTCCGATGTTTTGCGCAGCACTTGGCGCAACCAGATGTGTGGTGTGTGGTTTTCCTCTACCGGTATTTATTCATTTATTTTATTTTTCCCTAAAAAAAAAAAGGCAGACAAAACAAACTTTTGATATGCAGGGGGGTCCACTTGAGGTGATGGTGAAACGAGAGACTGAGGCTGGGTGTTTAGGTTTCTTCTATGATAGTTTTATTTTTAGCTAACTGCTATTTGGTGGGTGTGCGTGATGTCTGAGGTGGTGGTGGGGGGAAGTGGTGAGGATCATGGATTATCGCTCGCGTTTGGCGAGATTTCGGGTGAGTAATGAGTGAGCATTTTGACGATAAGTTGTCAGGAATGTACGGCATGTCTACCGTATCTGTATGTAGGTATGCAGCTGGAAAGGAATGGAGGAGGATATACCGTAGAATAGAGCGCAGTGAGTAATAGGGGCGGAGATACGAAGAAGAGGAAGAGGGAGAGAGAAAAAAGTCAACCTCGCGAGGTGCGCACTTACTTGCTATGATCACTTCGGTATTGACGGGCGGGTAGATGGGGACGGTGATGGTGACGATGATGCGGATGAAAAACTTTCAAAAACATACACCTACAACCGAGGCGAAAGGCGTTCTGCTCACCCTCCTCCTCCTCCTCTCCTGCGGTCAGTGGACCATTCACCCTTCCATTCACCCTCCCCCTCCCTCTATAGCATTACTATTATCGCTCTCCATACCCTCCCGTTAAACAACGCACGTTTCCCACCGCTCCCACCGCTCCCACCTTATCCCGTGTGTGGGGGGGAGACGATTCGTTCGTTGACAACAATCACCACCACCACCACCACCACCATCCGCTATCGCTTATAGCACACGACCCAGACCATCACAAAAGGCTTGCTGTCTGTCCCTCGTCCGGCTGGCTGGCTGGAGTCAGAAAGCAAGATGCCCCAAAATTTAACGCAACGCAACGTAACATAACGCCAACTGCATGAACATCAGTAGGCGTAAATATGCAAACAAACAGGGCAACAAATGCAGTCCTATTGGGAATAGGAACGAATGAGTTTGAATGTTTATCGCACAGCTCGCGAAGGGGTTATCATGTCACATATGCCGGCGGTACTGTCGCACACGAGGGAAGATCACTTCTCAATCCGTGCTTTAGTGTTTTGGACAAGGGGGATGGGCGGGGGTGTTGACAACTACGGTGGAGCTCGTTGTTTCCATCACACACATCCCGTATTGGCGAATTGGGTTCCGGTCTCGTTCGGTGCTGTGCGGAAGTCTCCACCTGCTTACGTACCCTACCGCGCGAGTACTCGAGTACGGGTGGATGGATGGATACCGTAGGGTGGTAGAGTATGATTGAATACCGGTATTATCCGACCAGTAATTATCACGCCCGGGCAGGTATCACGGGTAGACCATAGCGCAGATCACTACCGTTCCGGTCATGAAGGCCAAGTGCACTCCCAGCAGTCGCACAAACATACCAAACATAATCGTTACGGAGGGAAATCACGAGCACCAGAATGGAGAACGCCGTGCATCGCTCGACAATCCCTTGCTTCACCTTACTTACCTTTACCTCTCTTGTCTTTGCCAGGAGGAGGAGGAGGAGGAGGAGGAGGAGGAGCACCAGTACGCTACAGTACGACGACGCCCAATCTACAAATCAACTATTTCCCTCAACCCAAAGCAGAGCCCGCAAGTACTGTGCAGAATTCACTGTACGGAATTCCGTGATGACTCGCCGGAGGTTGCGCTAATGGATGGATCATCACCATACCATCCCATACCGCACATGTCACGAGCAAGCAGGCAAAGCCTCGAGATGCTGGTCGAACTCTAGTTGAAATTACGTGCGTGTAACGCGGTCCAGATACGCTGAAGGGGAAGGAAGGAAAAAAGGGTTTCTGTCCAACTCTTGGCACAGTGGCTGGAGCGAACCCCCGTCCCTGGATGGTAGACTACTACCGTATTCTACTCCGGAGAGGGCCCAGAGGAGGAAACTCGACAGACTTTTACCCTTCATAATTACCATACCCGGTACCGATACTCTACCGCCCATCCTTTATCAGCTCGATCGTGCAGTGGACTGTGCGCGCTTTTCATATCACCACCATACCAATTTCGCGTCCGTGCGGATCGCCCCGCGATACATACCGGTAGTCTTTCACGCCCTCAGTATGATACGGCACTCGAGTAGGCGCAAATGGGATAACGCCAATATTGCGTGCTTTTTCTTTTTTCATTTCTTTTTCTTCATTTCTTCCCCTTTGGGGTACTCGCCCTACTCACCTGGACATGATGATAGCTATGGAGGAGGAGGAAGGAGGAGGAGCAAAAATTACATAGGGTGAATTCACGATTGGTCTACTCGAGTATTTTTTTTTTCTTCTTTTTTTTTCCGCCCTCCATTCGTGGATGGATTGTCGGGCAGTCTCGGTGAGGGGTAGTTAGCACTTTCATTATACTCTCCAGCTAGCTACCGTAGCTAGCTAGCCGCGAAGAAAGGAAAAAAAAGAAAGAAAGAAAGCAAAACTGAGCAGCTGGAACCTGGGGGCTGCGATAACAGTACTATGATAGTGCAGCCGTAGCTACGAGTGGATTAGAGTTGGAGTGAGTGAGTGAGGGCGAATGATCTCAATACCGCACCGAATCTCAAGAGATCCCAAATATCAAAGTTCGAGTCGGGTAAGTGCAATACCAACCAACCGAAGCGGGCTATCCCAAGCGGAACATATCATTGGGGGAGGCAGGGGTTCAGCTCTTGCGCTGGATTCTTTTTTTTTTCTTTTTCTTTTTTCCCCTTTTCCATTTTGGCATATACCCCATTTGTCGCTTCACAGGTCTTCGCGTCTATATATCATACTTGTATCATGGCTCGGAAGGAGTGTCCGAGTGCGGGACCCAAACAATATTGTTGTCTTTCTACTATAGTACCGGGCCAAGTATCATACTGGGCTACTATTTTACTCGTACCGGTACTTGCTGTTGCTACCGTCGCTCGCTACTCGAGTACGGGTACCGGTATCATACCACTACCGTGGGGGTACTGTACTGTACATTATGATATGACACCCCGCTACCAAAACCGGAAAAAATGGGTCGATAGGGTACGGGTAGCATGCTGGCATGAATCAATGGATGGATGGGGAGAGTGAGTTGGTACAGTACAGCACAGTACGGTATCATAGTACTCGTGGTCTAGGGAAACATGAATAGGCGTGCGTGAAGGTTGTCTGTCAGGAAGCTTGCTGGTGCTCGTGCTGTACAGTACGAGTACGGCAGGGCACTCTACTTGTGGCTTTTAAGCGAACTTTCGCCACCTTCCTGCAGTGCGTGCATAAATAAAACATGGCGGCACGGTGCAGCCATCGTACTGTGTGATAACTTTACTCGTAACTGACATGCTGAGCGTGGTCTTGGTATGATAGACTACGGTATTATAACCGTTAACGCTATGATAACCGTATCCAACTAATATTATAATGATAAACCAAACGAGTAACTCGTAAACTACCCTACTCGTACTCGTACCGTTACCGTATCATACTGTACAAAGAATCGAGGAACCCCTCACTATCACACCAGTACGAGTAACACCACCGGTATCGTAAAGCACGCTACGATACCCCTTTCGCTTCGGAGCTCCCGTCGGGTGGCCGTGCCAATCGATCCCTTCCAGATGACCCCCCCCTCCGCAGTAACTTGACTCGATTCCACAGTAGACTATCACATCGCACCCCCTCCCTCTCAACCACAGTACTCATAGACTATACTCAACTTCTCAATCAATCAATCAATCGGTCGGTCAGGGAACCGCCGCGAGGGGGAAAACCCCTTATGCGTATTTTACGGTACGATACACCACGAGAGAGAAAACCGATCAAATCCCACCCAATTGAAAACCCCTCTTCATAAAAAAAAGCCACAGACTTAGGCGCTGAGCGGATAAACATTCCATTCCATTCCATTCCACCACCCCTTCCCCCCCCTCCACCATCCCTTCACGGCCAATAATAATCTAGTGCGTCACCTGACTCAAAACACTCTGGATACCTGCATTAGCTCCATCGTGGGGAAAATGCCCGGAAAAAAGGGGGGGGGGGTTTCCGTTGGTTCTATTGAGCCTTTTTTTTTTTGGGTGGGGGGGTGGGAGATTATCCGTCCGTCCGTCCGTCCGTCCATCTATATCATCGCTTTTTTGGGGGGGGTCAATTTATCGTAGAGATACTTACTTTTGTGTGCGGCGGGGTAGTGCGACTTGTTCCCTGTGGATGGGTAGGATTAGGCTCTGATGCCTTATGTGCATGTACGAGTACTCGAGTATCCGGAGTGTTTTAAGTCACCTGACACACTGAGTGGAAGTTATGGTATTTTGGTGCGAGGGCATGTGAGTGGGTGGGGTTTTTTGTTACCTTTCTTTTTTCTCTTCTTTTTCTTTTTCTTTACTCGAGTATTATTCCTCTTTGGGGGGGAGGGGATGGGGATGGGGATGGGGATGAGATGAGATGAGATGAGAGGGGTAGCGCAGTAGCGCGGCGGGAGGGTAGGTAAGGTCAGGTCAGGTAAGGTGAGGGAGAGAGGAGGGGGAGAAGTGAAGAAGCTGGTCTGTATGTTTGTGAACTTGTATGTTTGTATGTATGTTTGTGCATGTGAGTGTGGGCGCGTGGGCGCGTGGGTGGGTAGGGACAAATTGCGGGTACTGTACAATACTCGTTCGCAGTCTCTTTCCCGCCCATCAATACGCATGTAACATACCTTTTCGAGAGCCGTTCATTCAGGCTTTAATTTTCCTCATTTTTTATAATCGTACATTGTGATCATGATATGCAGTGGCACTCGGGCCGGTTCCTCCTCCTCCCTGAAGGGCCTGTCCGCTTCCAGATATTAGATGCGGCAACCCACCCCCAGTTCCACTTTCTCCACCACTTCTTCCACCACCTCCACCTCCGTCATCTCCACCTGCCCCCGGGACACCACCTCCCGTCACCGTTACCGTTGCTGCTGCTGCACCAGCGCCAGCTCTGCTTCCGCCGTCTCCCGTGATATCTATGCTTCCCATCCCCCCAATTCCTGACTCGAAATTCGGAGGGCACGAGTTGAACGGCAGGAACCACGCGCTGCTCGGCTGTTCCGTAAAGGCATCCACATCCGCTCCACTCGCTTGGCCCTGGAGCTCGGGCCAGATCCCGCTGTTAAGCGAGGTTGCGGCCATCATGAATGTGGGATCTGATCCCGAAGAGTACAGGTCGTAAAGGAGATATTGGGAAGGCCCACTTTGAGAATGTTGTTGCTGATGGTGGTGAGGGTGGTGTTCTTGATGCGCCGAGTGCGATTGATGGGGCTGGGGGTGATGCATACCCATCCCTCCTGTATCCACACCTGCAGGACCCCTGGGCAGGGTACTGGGATAATTGGGATACGGAACTTGATGCGAGGATATATCTGGCACCAAGGAGGGGATTGCTGGGTGATGTTGGGTACTTTGGGTTTGCCGCTGATAGTTTGTGCGGTAGATGTTTGTTCGCCGGGACATGCTTTGCGGTTTGGATATCTGCGGTGGGCTTAGTAGTTGGGGGTCCAGCTTCCCCTCCATCTCACTGTGACCTTGAGCCATTGCTGGAGCGGGAATTGTTGCAGGAGACGCACCCATTGGTGAGTGATGTGCTTCGGGTGATTGGCTGTGATGCAAGGAAGTGGTAGGTGAGCTCCCAGGATGTATAGTCGTGGGCCCCTGTGTGTGTATCGAGGGAGATGCGCGAGTGTAAGACTGTGTTTGAACCCTGGGAGGGGGAGGGGCTGGAGCAGGAGGGGCAGCTGGAGGCCGCTTCTGTCTCGATGGTCCTAACCTTGCAAAGAACTCGTCTGCGGTTTGAAGATTTGACTTTTGGCTCAGCACAGCGTCTTGGGTGGAGGCCTCGTCTGAAGTATGGGGCTTTGATGTCATTTCTACTTCGTAGTCGCCAGCGCTCACCCCTCGTGGGTACTTTTGAAACCAGTCTCCATACTGCAACGTTCGGGTGGTTTCTTCAGGGAACGACGAACCCCGTGCAAGGGAGTCGGCAAGTTTACGGTATAATCTCTTGAGATTATCTGTTAAAGCATGGAAGAGACCCCAATATTGTCTTAGTCGCATCAAGAACCTTAGACATATCTGCATATTGTTTCTCGATTCCTCCTGTATCTCTCTTCTATTAGAGAATGAGAACATCCGCACCATGTGCACCATGCTAGCATTGAATGCGCAATACCCCGTGAAAGGAGCCACCACAATCACTCCACGTTCCTCGGCATCCAAAAGTATTCGTGATATCTCGGTCGCCGAGGACAGGGCGATTTCCCCCGCCTTCTTTCCGAACTCTAGAGGGGTGCTCTGGCGCTGGGGGGTAGGCGTTGGAACTCCTGATTTGTTGAGAAAGAGTCGTACTTGGTGAAGGGCAATATGCACGAAAACGAACTGGCCAACGAGACGCTCTGTGATATGAACCTGCATATTTTCGGGAGTATATCGGAAACGACTAGGTAGGTTCTCTTCAAATCGGGCTATCTCCTTGTTAAGGGATGTAAACTGGGAATTTGGCTCCCAAATTTCACAAGGGTCGCGGTCTTTGCCCCCCTAAGAAAAGTCAATAAAAATATTCGGTGATATTTGTAATCCATTTCGCACTTCCATAATCCAAGGGGGCTTGGGTTTCCTTAGAAAACACCAAATATAGGGTGAAAAAAGAAAAGAAAGAAAGAAAGAAAGAGAGGCGGGATGGATACTAAGGCTTTTTGGCACTCTAACCTGGTTAAGATATTTTACAACTCTTCCGTAAAGAGCCACAACTCTCACCATATAGGCCGCAACCCCCATACATTCAGTGGCATCACCAACCTCTCCCACAGAACCCTTCACTGTCCCGTCAAGCTGCTCTGTCACCGCTGGTATATCCAATTCCAAATTCCTATCATGTACCGGCAGTTGAATCTCAACTTCCGACTCGGCGATCAAATGTGGCCTTTCCGTCCCCGATGAAGTAAACCTGTCCAGGATGAAGCAAGACCACATACTCCTCCGGCGGATTTCTCTATCGACAAAGGACATATATCCCCCTTCGTCTTGGTGGAAATAATCGCCAGCTGGCCTTGAGTGTGGCTTTCCGAGTGGGTCGCTATTTGCTTCTTTATGCAATTGTATTGCATGCGCCATGCGGGTGGCCATCCCGCCCATTGCCCAGCTTCGGCCTCCCTGACATGTACCGAATTCATGAAGACCTAGCAATACACAGACAGTAACATTGGTGACATTTGGGGTATCAAATTTCTTTAATATCTGTCGTCGAGCCTCGCTCGCAAACGCCTCCCCGGCGAGAAAGGGGGGATCATGGCGTACAGCTGGATGCCTAGAGAACCGAGCCGATACGGCACAGACAGCGAGAATTAATACCGGCGGCGCGGTTCCACTCCTGTAGTAACCCATTAAGTAATCCGACTGCGAATAATGTATGCCCACTCTCCACAATATGGGAGAAGCTTTCCAAAGAGGGGTTAATACCGTAATCGCCTCATGAATGAAGGTTTGTGCAGTAGGAAATATGGCTGGCCGTAGACATAATCAAAGAAAACTTCTGCTAGATGTTCTTGAATATCTTTCGGAGGCAGGGCATGATTCCCGTCGTCGACATCTATTGTTCGACCTACCCTCCCCAAAGGGCCATCGCCCCACGTCTCCGGCATGCCTATCCCCTTCCGTGCAGTTGAGCCATCTCCTCTGGCCCACATATCCAACTCATCCCCAAATGCCGTTGCGGCCGTCCTTTTCCTTGCTGAAGCACCGGACCTTGCGCTAGCTGTTGAAATACTTGGCCTTACAACAGACCTCCCCGTAGTGCTAAGCACAGCACTGACCTCTTCCTTTGGCACATTCTTGATTAGCCGTTCCTCCATACGCTTCAACCGTCGGTCGAGCATAGCCATGTAGTCTGTCCTAGGAGCTGCTTTGCGGGTGGATTGTTTATAAACACAAGGGGTCCTCGACCGAACACAGTGACGACAGGCAGGATTTTCACCGGAGCATCGTATCTTCTTGCGGCGACAGGCGATGCATGCTAGTGGAAGCCGCTTTCTATCCTTCCCTGCCTATGCTTAACTGTTAGACTAGAGTTCAGATGCGCTTAAGAGTGACTAAAAGTCGCCCCTTCCAGAAGTAGATTGATTGAGCCACCCCGAGGCTAGTGATCGAAGTAGCTTGTTCGGGGATCGAGGTGGCAGAACCTGCCTAAACCTGTGAAAAGCAGTGTCGAGAGCACTCCGACTAATGGCTCGGGAATACCCTCAACTCTGATCTTTGGCTTTGGACCCTGTGAAATGGAGGCCAAACGGATAGGAAACGAACCTTAGTTTTTGTCTCACTCCAAGTTGGAGTTTGTCCTTGTCCCTGCCCCGCTTCTGTCATTTTCAAGACACCTTGAGTCCCCTCTCTACTCTCCTGACCTGGGTGGTCCTCATCGCCAGTTCTAATACCCATCCCTTCGCCCATTTCGTCGCTATCTATATCATACCCCGCACTTGGAATATTGACCGGCGGTATTTCCTCTGCAATGCTCGCCATATCTGTGAATCCTCCACCACTTCCAGCTCCCATCTCATCTCCTCTCGCGCCTCCACGAACCGCCCTGGCTTCGCTCTCCATTCTGCTTCTCGTAGAAGATGGTATATTACCTCCCATATGTCTCTTACTCTCAGAAACAATCCTATTGTATACGTAGCCCTCATCCTGGGTGTGATGCCCCCCCTCCTTGTTGAGCTGACTCTGCTCCTGTTGGCTCATGTAGGTATAATCCACTCTTGGCGCATCCGCTGTGTCATCTGCTGGGGAAGTCGTCCCATATTCGTCGACATACGTCCTACGGGCTAATCCACTGCCAGTATATTCCATCCCATTACCTACGTTCGATATGCTGTTTCGGTCTGCGCCTGTCGGTGCACCATTCGTCGAGGGTAAATCACTTGGTTCTGAGGCTGGGCTAGAGAGTGGGGTCTTAATGACCGGAAATATTGTTGATTTGCTAAGTTGTTGCTGACTTCTGATTCCGAGTAGAGTGTTGGGAGCGTAGCGGTGCCCAAATATGGAGCGTGTCGGCTGCGAATTAGAAGAGAAGTTCCGTGGGTTATGGAGTATCATCTGAATGTGTGGGGAATGATATAGCCAGCGCCTAGCCAATGATATTCCGGCTTCCGACGATTTCTCCGGGCACTCTTCTTTTCAAGAGATATATCCAGATGGTAGAATCCCCCGTGGCTGCTAATCCACGTTTCAAAAAAAAAAAAAGGGTTCTTCAGAGCCCTCGTGATATCGGATGTTACTGTTACCAAACCCCTGTCTTAGCCCCTAAAGCAGCCTAACTGCCTCCCTGGACAAGTGAGGGACAGCAATGCAACACACTCTGATGGTTCCTTTCTCGTTATAGCTTTTGCGCTGCCTCCAGTATGTTGTAGCACGAACAGTATCAAGCAGGGCGGTCACAAAAAGACCAATGGGATGAAACCGCCACCTTTTGACTTAAAAGAGAACACTCGCCTTAGTTCCAACCTTTCTCTCCTGCAGCTACAGCTGCGGATGTGCTCAAATTGATAAGCTTGAGACACCAATGAGAATAAGTCAACCCCCAACTCTAGACCAAGAACTTTTGGGGCCACTTCTGGCGTACCAGGACCTCACGGGTTCAAAGGAGGACGCTTGTGCGTTAAGGTTTGCCTATGAGCGGTTGTACGAGTATGCCGTTCGCTAAGCGGTGTGCAAGCTATAGATGCTCTAGAAAGCGTTGCCGTGGATTATCAAGATTTTAATTCGTGTGATTCTGTCCTTGTTGTGATGAGTCGCCAATGCCCCGATATCAGATGGCCACCTTCGGGATACTACAAAATAGTGAATACCGAATTAAATTATAACGTACAAAATATGTGGTTGTCGGCGATTCCAAAGAACTGGATCAAGGCTGTCCAAACCCTACTGCGAAACGGATGAGAGAGTTGATAGGATGGCCTGAGATTCTTCGAAGGGGGTGTTCTTATTCTTTCTATTTATATCTCGTACCCTTTCCCCTTCCAATCACGAAAGGTATTGCAGTCCCGTTGCGGAAAGCAAGTGAGTAAAAAAGGTGATTGTCGTGCTAAAACCGATGAAATGACAGTGCGGTTGCCGCGGAGGCATCGACAGCGGAGAGATATGGTATTTCGCCAGAAATGAGGACAGGACTTCCAGGTTCCGCAGATCTTTCAGGTTTAAGAAATTGATGAGTCCCTCTATTTTTGAGCAGACGATGAAGGGTGGTTGAGAAAACGTAAAGCTGCAGGCATGCTCAGATTGACCAAGACGTATGCGGGCTTTCTGTTCCTGCTTTCCTGTATGCGCGTCGGTGGTGCAACTGGGACCAGGCGGGCTCGAAATGTCTTGCTTGTCTGTACGAATCGAGTACAAGTGCCGGTATGAATGGTGAAAAAACGGGGAAGCTGTGCGACGTTTCGTGCTCGGCTATATCCTCCACATTATTATTATTGCTGTTCCCCGAATCTTTTTTTGAACGTCAAACAAGAAATATTAGTTGGGGGGGAAACGGTAAGCAACAATTGATATGGTTGTTTGTGATATATACCGATCGAGTGTTGGCAAAAGCGATTTGGGGGTCCTCATCCAAAACTGCCGGGCATCCCCCAGACTTTCTCACCGAACGAAAGATGTGTTCCTCGTTCAAAGCCACGGAAAAGAGAGAGAGAGAAAGAGAAAGAGAAAGCTAGCACAAGAGTCGACCTTTCCCAGTGTAAATTCACCCCCTGAATCAGATCCGCTGCAATTCTCGCCTCAATGAATGCCCATTCCGGGGAATGATGACTAGAAATTTTCCCTTTGAAAATACAATAAAAGCCGAGGTGTCGAACCCGGTGGGCATTTCTTTTTTCTTTCTTTTTTTTTCTGTTCTTTCCTTTCCTTTTTTCCACCTTGCTCCACTGGGATAAGAGATGTCAATGCAAGGTGCTGGCACCGCTCCTGCACAGTACTTGTAGGGAAGGAACCAAACAGTAATTATGCCTCAATTGAGAAAGCTCCCCGGGGGCAAAATTGGTACAGTAGTAAATTCTATCAGCGAATACTCGTTCTACACCGTGGATTGTCTGGTACTCGTACAACAGTCAGAAGCAGCAGGGAGCGTTTGCTGGCAATTGAATACCGCACCGGTAAAGCGCGAATGGAAGATAATTGGGATTCCCCGAGAAAAGTTCAGCACCACAAAACAAATCCAGGGAAGAGGAATGGAAAGGCCCAAAGGATTACCTCAGTGATCCCGGATTGATTTATGGGAGGGAGAGGCTTTTTTTTTTCTTTTTCCTTTTTCTCATTTCCTCTCTATTTTTCTCTCATTTGTGATAAGGGGATTGTGAACTGGGGGGGGTGTGAGGAGCTATGACTATTGTGTTCAAGCTCGCCGCCAGGGTAAAAGATTAGGAGGGGCCCATCAGACAAGAATTCCGACACGAATGAGAAGAAAAAAAACTCAACAAGCGTGTGATTATCGCTTTTTGAAAAAGTCATCAGATTGTCAGTCCTTCGGTTTTCCCCATTTTTGTTTTTCTTGACGCCACGGTAGGGGGTTCAGGCCGGTTCCCTAACTAAGAGAGGTAAAGTTCACAGCTAAAAGAAGGAAAGTGGGATGTGGGAAATTACATTGGAGAAATTCCAGCAGTGATAGCCCTTTCAAAATCGCAGGGTGCTGTACTCGTACAGTACCAGCACATTACCGGCCAATATGGCACACACCAAACTCCGAGAAGACGTCAACGGCTTTCTCTACACCCGCAGTGCCTGAACACTAGCACTGTGGTCGAGTATTGTAAGTACCGTAAGCCATCCCACTCGAGTCGTTCCAGGATTAAAGAAGCAAAGAGCGGATTTATTGAGTACTGTACTCGTACGAGTACTTGTAGACTACGAGTAGACTAAGGCAGGGTCATAAATGGACACTACTCCCACAAGCACCCAGACTCTAGCGATAGGATGAGGGTACAGTAGTGTACTAGTAGTACTAGTACAAGTAGACCACCCAACATAAGTATCACAGGGTATGCGCGGGTAGAGATTACACGTAGACTACGAGTATGTGCTCGAGTACTCTAGCTATCGTGCATATTGTAACAAAGAACTGTATGGGGAGGCACCGAGTGGTTCCGCCTCATAACCAGCCGAGTCACTACGTCCGGGCGATAGGTGGCATAAGGTCTTAGTCCGAAACCCTGGTAATTTCTTACCAATTAAGACAGGATACTTTCTAGATCTCGTTGATTTCCTAAATAAGATCTTTTGGAAGCAGGACACGACGGAATGAGGGACAACCGAAAAAGAAAAAAAGAACCCCACTGTTAACTTATCGGACTTTGGATATAAATTTAATTGAAACTTGGGGACGCATCCAGCCCACAATGGACTGGCAAGTGTGCCCATAAATTCTGGGCGATTTCACACCCCCCCGCTATACTTCTTAATGCAGCCACTATCCCTCTTAGGGCCTTATCCTGTAGCAGGTGCACCCTTCTGGGGATAGTGACTGCCATACAGAGAATGGCGGTTGGTCGAGTTTACCCGGGATATTTGGGGTACTACAAGTCTACAAGTACTGTACTCGTACTAGTACTGTACTATCCTTATCCCTTCTCTCATCTTCATTCCAAAACAAAAGCCTCAAACTTCGCCCATGTTTGCTTTTCCCTCTCTTTTCTCTGCTACTCCCACAACATCCCTTCTCCATTGCCTCCTTCTGATTATCTCCCGGACCGCCGAAACTCATGAATATTTCTTGCCACCCCCTATGGTTGTCTGAGACACAAATTAATAGCCAACTTTTGTCAAGTACTGCGAATTCGGAGATGTTCAAACTTCGGACCACTGCTAATATTAGCTATGATGGTACCTACGCTTATCATAACTGAAGAATATTGAGGTGGTTCCTTAGTCATCTATGTCTTAGACACTGACAGGGGCGGCAAGGGATTTTCATGGGTTTCAGCAAGCCCAGGAGATATAGGTCAGGCACCAACCTCTAAAACATTTTAACTCATCATCATCTCATTATCAACATCATGTGAGGCGGCTACCGTTCCGGCACACAAGGTACACAACTCAGACTCAACCGCAGAAGGTTGGCCCAGGATGTCTCTCTCCCCTGGTCCCTCTTTTCTCTTCTCTGGTCGCACTGGTCATCAAGGCAGCCAATCATCAACAAGTAGGCTCACCCCACAGCAGGCCGAGGGGTGCGCTGATCGCCTCGCTAAACTCAATAACGAAAGGCAGCCTCATCCTGATACAGGAGTTTACGCCGTACCAATTCCTAATCTACTCGTAATCCTCTGACGTTTGTAAAGACGACAGGGTCCGCACACACCCCCGTGGCGGATGGACAAATAACATCAGTGGTAGCAAGCCATAAATATCAATTGGTAACAGTTTCCCGTTTCTGAAGTGCTCTTTGCAATCCTATTCTACGATAACATTATTCAGAAAAGATGCTCCTGGAAAATCCGAAAAAAATCATGGAACCATCCAGGAATTCGAAGGTAAGGATTCTATACCCTTTAAGGCCAAATCCAACACCGGTACAGCCCACTAACTTCAAGTCAGACCCTTTAAAACCTTCAGCAAACTTCCTCCCTTTCACAAAAAGGTACCGGTACAGGTACGAGTACAGTACTTGGGCTTCGTGTTTTCCCAGGTCCTGGGCAAGGCACCTTGGCAGAGCGCGGTATGTGGACCCAGCCGTTCTCACCAATGTCAGAGAATTACAGTACTCGTACGGGTACAAAACCCTTCTCTCCTTTCGGCCGTCTCTGAGACAGATGGTATACTAGACTAAAGAGTTCGAAGGATGATCCCGTCAACTGAGAAGATTGTAAATTTTTACTTCTTGGCAGTGGTCTGGCCGCATCGTTGGCGTCGACCAGGATTTATCACCTGGATGGCACAATACCACAGCACGGCCCCGGGCGCTACGAGTACAGTCTCCGCCGGGGGGCATGGATTAATCTCAAATCTGATTATTAAGCAGTCAATCTCCTCCTAAACCGGCGGTGGGTATGGCGTTTTGCTCTCCTAATTGGGATAAATTATATTTTACTTGGCCACTTATAGAGTATTTGGACACCTTGACACGTATTATTACCGGTAGTACAGTACCGTACTTGTCTTAGCTCCAAGCGTCCAACTACTTTCCGATTAGTGAAGTGCAGTAAAATCTCGTGAAAATCCACTCACTATCCCCAGCCACTCCCAATCTCCGCGACTAGTCCCTATACAGTATAGTCTATGAAGCTATTCACAGCCTCGTACAAGGGTGCGAGATTTGACAGGTCCCACGATCCCGCATCTAGCAGCCACTATTCCCTCCCAAGCTAGCGCTTTGTCAGAGCGGAGATAAGTGGATTTCACAAGATTTTACGGCACAGTAATTGTTGAAAGTGGGAGAATACCGGCACCCATGTTAAATTATGTTTGGCATGACAGCCGAAAAAACACCTCACCCCTTGTTAGAACCTTAACATGGGCCCGTCTTTTGGAACCACAAACAACTTCAAATTGCATTAATTGATAAACTCCTCACCTTCAATCATAATATATCACTCGAATTCGCATTACGGGCATCTCTTTGCTAGTCCAATTCCGCGCAAACTTCTTCCTGCTTCACATGTACGATACCTCCTCCCCCTCCTCCTTCAATCGCATCGCCAGTGCATCCGTTGCCCTTCGTCTCTTCCTCTTCTCCTTCTTCCTCCCCCAAACCATCTTGCTGTTGTTCCGAGGGGTTCGGTTTTCTCGCCTGGAGGTTTTTGCTATATCATAGGCCGGTTTCGCTGTTGAACTTTTTGTCCCTCCCCCCCCCCCGTTCGCCGCGGCAGCGGCGCTATCATTTCATCTCTCCACACGGAGGGGGAGGGAATCCCGAGCGCCACCGACCGAGCCTACCAGTACTTTGCTCCAAGTTGTGCACAGTTCAATAATAATAGCAAACTGACTCGGCACGAAACCTCACTATTAGACACAACTATATTGGACAAGTATGATGCAGTCCTGATCATACTCTCGCCCCCTTCAAATTCGAGTGATCCCCCGTGACCGTTTCTGCGGTCTACCCCTGAAAGTGGTTCACTACTGCACTCTCTATACGTGCTGGCACTGTGAGTAACTTAGCTAGCAGCGCAAGTAAGGCAGAGAGTGCTTGGCGAGGGACGTCCCATCCTCAGGCTAGTTATTCAGGTATACCCACGTAATCTCGTGCGCTGGTATATATCAGACTTTACAGTACTCTACGCTCTCAATGTTCACTCAAGTGCTGGATAGCTACCAGCAAAAGGCATGGTATGTCAGGTTGGACACAGGACGGCACCACCAGAACTCCCCAGGCAAACGAGTAAACCCCATCACCGGCACTGTATATCCCCCTTTCCAGCAGCGCGGTATGTATATGGTAGATGGCTGTGATGGATAGTCTATAGCCATCCAGGTGTCTATCCGCGGGCTAATCGCCAAACATACCCTTTGAGCTACCGTTCCCAGCGTCTACTCGAGTACATAGTTGGCACGTATCAGCCCGGGCCCACCAACAAACAAAACACATACAGCAAGTAAATACACTGCATCCCCTCCCTCCTTACTAAGCATTCCATCCCATCAACCCCGATACTCTCTTTTGTTCACAGTGGATCACTCGATTTCCACATCCTGTCATCGATTCCCCACACACCCTATCCAACAAGCTTTCGAAAACTCAGTCACCGCGTGCTAAATGAAACGAGTACTGTCACCCGCACTACAAAGTGCCCGGGAGGAAGTGAACCCGAGGACCCGGACGGTACGGTAGCAACGCGGTAGCGCCGACAAAATGAAGCCAAAAGCAAAACAAAACAGACCCCCGCCGGGATGAGGTGGAACAAATTTGATACGATAGATTGATACGATGGACACGGCAGACAAGCAAGTAACCCCACCTCGCACCACTCTTGTTATCATCATACCTACCCCACATCAGAGCAGAACGGAAACCTTTCCCCGCCACGCGTAGTAGTGCCGTTTAAGAGCCCTATTCGTCTTGATGGAACATCATAGTGCATCGTAAATGCCACCACCGTATTCTCCTCCCTTCCCGCCTCTTTTAGTCCCTTTTTTCCTTTTCCTTTGCGAAATCGACGACTCTCGTTGTAATGTATACCGTATGTCAACAGGTGAAAGGTGGTTGGTTGAAGGTTTTTTTTGAAGTGGAAAATGGGGAAACGGAAATAGAAATAAAAATTTAAGGCCAGACGAGCAGAACCTTGTTTTGCCCCCCACTCCTCACCATATCCGTCCGTTATACGTAGTAGGAGTTGGGGGAGAAGGAGGTATAGGCGAAAAGACAAAGGATCGAGGGAAGAGGGAATTTAATAGCGAAAATAAAAAGATGAAAGGAAAACCCATAGAAATGCTGTGAATAGACAAAAACAAAAATACCAGCCGGAAAGAACTCCAATCATGAGTAAAAACACAAATAGAAAGCCACGAAACAAGACACGAGAGCAGTTATAAAAGCAGCTCTCTCTCACTTGAACGGGAAGAGGAAAAAAGGGGGGGAACGAAAATTAGCAGACTTCAAACCCAAGATGCAAGTGGAAAAAAACAAAAGCGGATAAAAGAGCTGTAAAAAAAAATGAAAGCAAGAAAGAAAAGAATCAAACACCATACCCCATAGCCTTAACCCATTTCCACCTCCATCCGAAAAACCGTAGACTTTAAAACTTGAACTTTAACGAACATTTACCAGCAACTCGGCCTCAAGGATAAACTTTCCCTCCTTGTAACCCTCCGATGCCTCATAGGCTTTATCGTATTTCCAGCCAACAATTTCATTGCACTGGCGACAAGAGATGTCGCGAACGATGTGACGGCCGGTAGTCATGTTGCGCTCAACGGGTTCGGCTTCGCTAATGTTGACGACAGTATTGAAGAGGTAGGCTTTTCCATGTTGGCCACGGAAATTCTAGAAAATTATTTCCATCCCATGTTAGCAAACTAACCACTAGATTCACTATCGCTCGAAGATGGGGCATGTACGCGTGACAGGATATCATCATAATTAGACAAGTGGGTTTTGCAGTTTTTGCACCCGTAAATACGGCTAGAGTTGAGGTAGACGTTGTAAGAGAGACCCATTTTGAGTTTCTGGCTCGGTAACCCCTTTAACCCGTTGAGCGGGGTGGTGTGTAGTGGCAGTTGTGGTAGTGGGGCAACTGGTACAGCGGCAAGCTAGGGAAACGTCAGCTTGATTTCTTTCCGGAGCTTTGGTGTTGCTTTGTGGGTGTGGCTGAATGCTCGAGCGGTGGGGGTTCTGTTTATGGAATGACGGGAAGAATAGATGGAGAGAGGAGGTACGAGGGTACGAGGGAGGGAGAAAGAAGGGACAACAAGCTGGGATAGACGTACCTTATCTATGACGTGCGGTAACTGCTGAGGAAGGGGTTTGTCGGAATGATCCGCGAGAGAAAGCGAGTGGGGGGGAGGAAGAAAGACAGTGAGGGAGAGAAAGAGGGAGAGAGGAAAGGGGGAGAGGGGAGAGGGAGACAGAGGGAGATAGAAAGCAAGACTACCGTAAGTAGTGTTCACGTGGTTTGTCACGTAACTTGGGTTTTGATACTGTAGTGTTGAGCTCTCGCCTTTAGCCTTGACGCACTGAGACGGAGGAAGTACCGTAACTTAGTCTATTAATACCATGGAATGCTCAATTTGCGAGTGAGGAAACTTGGTTTTCACTGGACATGTATCAGGATTGGTATGCTAGATATCATGGGAATTATTCGAGAGATCGAAGCATGGGCCATTTTATTGATATGGAACGGGCTCCGTACTCACTCAGCCAACAAACCTTCGTATCTCATCAAACTTTTGTATCGTGCGGACTGGAGAAGAGAAGGGAGAAAGGAAATAGGAGAGTGAGTGAGCAGCAAAAAGTCCCTCGGTGTGTCGCTTCATATACTGTACGGTGTAATACAGCCTTGACCACATGACGCTCAATTGACGTTGGAACAGAGGTCTAAATGAAACGACCCTAGCGCGCATCTAGGCGACAGCGCTTCGCATCCATCCGT